GCTGTCTCGATGATGCACGAGACGTGTCTGTTGGCCGAGATTGCTATTCCATATGTCAACGCATTCGATGAGCTGAGGAGTCTTGCACCGCGACCAGTGCCCACCACTGAGACCTGCGCCATGGCTGCTGTGAGCGCGAGTTTGGAGCAGAACGCGGGCGCAATTCTGGTCCTGACCACAAGGTATGATCAGCAAGGGAACGCCGTCTCGAAGCGTTCTGACACTCTCGCAGTGGTAACACCGCCCGACTGATCTCGAAGTACCGCCCTGTGTGCCCCATCATCATGGTGACTCGCAATGCATCAGCTGCCAGAGTGAGTAGTCGGGTCTTGCGTCAAGATGAGCTCTGAACCTAATGTTGATCGCAGTACTCTCACCTCTACCGTGGCGTGTACCCCTTCTTATTCCCCGAGAAGAAGCCAGACTTCAAGTCGGAGCCATGGCAGGAGGATGTCGACCGCAGACTGAAGTGGGGTATCGCGAACGCGATCAAGCTCGGAGTCCTCAGCAAGGGCGACGCCGTGGTCTGTGTGCAGGGCTGGAGAGGTGGCATGGGCCACACGAACACTCTCCGCATCGTCCCCGCCGAAGAGGACCTCGGACTCGACCCGCATGCTTAGATCGGGTGTTCGGCTCTGGTGCAATAATGTTTTGCGACTGCATGAAGTCGCTCCAGATATCCCACGGTTGCAGTACAGGCGGCGAAAGAGTCATCCCGGATGGATCGACTGCTACAATTCTTCCTAGTTGTTCTTCTCATTCGAGCACGAACCGTTGCAGATGCACGGATCATTTCCAGTATATGGATGTAGTAGTTCGAGAAGGGCACATGTTTGATGGGGAAGGATTGTTTGGCATCGCCATGTAGGGTGCCTTGAGAGTGCTCCAGTGTGAAAAGAAACGATTACGTATCGGTTGCTGTTCCACTTGGTCGATCGAACCTAGCGAAGAAACAAACTTCCTGCTTGCGCACGACATATCCTCACAGAGAGACGGCCAAGGCAGAGCGATCCCGAAAAGCTCGAGTCCGGGTTGATTGTGATTCGGGTCTCGGGGTTCGACTTCGAGGCGCACAACCTCAACACCGTACACCTCAAGGCCGCATCGTGCGCGCTGGCGAGCTCCACGACTGTCACTAACCTCTGCGGTGCGCAAAGCTGTGTAAGGCTCGACAAGACGTCCATCTTCCGTGGCGTCGTGCTCAACCACTCATCCCTGTCGTTGACACGCAGTGCAGCACAGTAGTGCCCAGCCACGTCTACGAACCAGTGCAGATCGGCGCAATGGATTGCACGGACTCCCGTGGCAGGGACTCGATGCTTGCCTCAGGTTTGGTTGACTCGTCCCTGACCAGGCTGACCAGGCCTGGTCTCAGCAGAGCGGCCTTTGTCTGTTGTCGTGAGCCTGGAGTCCTTGACTCAGTTGGACCGTCTAGTGCTGCAGAGACACCGCGGACAGCGCGCTCGACCACGGCATCGAGGAGGCTGCCGCCCATCTGCGTGCTCTTGGCGACGTGTGTAGGGGCATTGGAGCGCCGACGAAGAAGACGACGGGCGGCGCAGCATCGAGGGTCCAGACTCCGACCACGCATGAACGGCGCCGGCAGTGGAGCTACTTCGGACGACCTACCCTTGACACAGTTACGTGGTGTCACTCGGCTGCCACGATCGTTTAGTCGCAGTCGACTCCAGCCTCATCCTAGTCGAGCACGGCTTAGCTGCAGCGACGGCCCCCATCTCACAGCAGGTGGTGGTGGACAACCCACCCGAATGCAGGCACGGCAGCACACTCGCCGGGACGCTCATCAGGGAAATCCCCGCAAGATCGACGGCGACCAGTGGCCGCGGCGAGCTGCAAGTCAGGAACCGGCACTTTGGCCTCACACCCCTTCGGCAACCCGTGGGTCTTGTCTCCCCTTGCGTGCTCGACTGGGCTATTGCCTCTAGTGTGCTTGGGTGCGACCCATGCGTGTTTCCGCGGGTGGAGCCATACATAGGAGCGATGTGTCCCTTGCTCTGTCCAGAGCCCATTGCTCGCTTTGTGCGCTCACATCCACCCTTGTCCCGTTGTGCGGCCGTCTGGTCAGCCTTTGGCACATCCAACCGACTGAACGGAGAAGCTACGCCGGCTCGCCACTCTGCAGTGAAGGCGAGCGGAGTGAGGTGAAGTGCTGCAAGTGACACTTCGAGGCCGGGTCCAACGCGCCCAATGGTCGTCATCGATACGATTCTCAATCCTCCTCGAGACTACGCAGTCACCGACGCGCCCCGGCCAGAGCGACGTTGCTTCCGCAAATGCAAAGCACTCTCCACCATGCGCGACATACCACTCTCCGTGGTTCTCACCTTTCCACTGCCAAACTACCAACATCCTCAGACTCGCGGCGGGGCACTGGTCGTGGTGAACTTCATCTTCATCATCTTGGTTCTCCTCGCCGTGGGCTTGCGCTTCTACACTAGGATTGCTGTCAAGAGGTGGTTTGGATCCGACGATGTCTGGATTGGGCTTGCCTTGGTATGCTACTTCCCTCTTCGCTGGAACGGTGACGGACAACCCCGCAAAGTTGGCTGGCTGGTTGGCGTCCTGCGAAAGAGAGATTCTCGCGCCAGACTGCGCTCAAACCGTACAAGACAACTATCAGACGACGGCTGACTCTCCACCAGCTCATGACCATTGGCATGACAGCCGTAGTCCTTCTGGCCAACACACGCTACGGCTGGAACAGACATGTTTGGGACATCCCCGTGGACCTGCTCACCAACTCCGGCATCATTGCCTTCGTCGCGAAGATTGCGTTCACGCTCGCGGCCACATTCACGCGCATCTCGCTGCTGTGCTTCTACTACCGTCTGATCAAGGACGGCAGCGTGAAGTGGTTCAAGAGACTTCTACACGTCTCCGTGGCTTTCGTTGTCTCGGTCTGCATCGTCTTTCTCGCTTTGACGATCTGGCAGTGCAGGTTGGTCTCCCACTTTCAATGTCATGCCATCCCAAACTCTCTTGCCATCCGAGTACTCGTTGCTCGCAGGCAGACTTGACTGACGAATGCCACAGCCCAATCGAAGCCTACTGGGTCTTCCCGCCCATCAAAGACTCGAAATGCCTCGATGAGGGCACCGTCACGCTCGCCGCCGGCGTCATCAACTGCGTTGCCGATCTACTCGTCACCGTACTGCCCATCCCGATCGTCATGCAACTTCAGATGCCGATTCGCCAGCGCATAGGCGTCATCTTCCTGCTCAGCCTTGGTTTCATCGTCACCAATGCTGGCGTGGTGCGGACGTACTTCATCTGGAAGAGCCTGGTCAAAAGCTACGACGAGACGTGGTTCGCGTATCCGCTGTGGATCGCCGCGGCGGTCGAGATCGATCTGGCTGTGGTACGTTTTTCACGCTCCTCTAACCCCTACTGCACTGCCAAACCCCTGAACCAGTCTTCCCACTTGGCGCACTACTCTGCCATCTTTCCTGACCGCAACCTCAGATCTGCGCCTGCGCCCCGGCCCTCAAACCCCTCTTGAGCTCCTTCCACGGCTCCTCCATCGCCTCGCTCGGTTCCAAGATCGGGCAGAAATGGAACTCTTCGCGCTCTGACCGCAGCCGCTCGCGCCTCGACTCCCGGGAACACTCCCCCAACAACACGGGCAACGACGCACTGCGGGCCCATCTCTCGGACACGCAACTCTTGGAGTCCGCTGCGCGGCATGGGACTGTGCCGCATTCAACGTCCTCCCACCATGCCGGCGCCGCGTGGGATCGCGACGTGGAAGCTGGCAATGCGAGAGAACGAGATATTGACCACGAACATGCTGCTGGTCTGGGCTCAGTTGGCACAGCGGAAAAGAGACCGCTACGTCTCCAAATCACCAAACGGCAGAGCTTCGAGATGAAGCAGTGGGTCCCAGATCCGTCCACAAAGGAAAGGGACGCAGTGCCCATGACGTGGCCAGCTTCGAGACAACCGGGACCGGTGCCGAGATCGCTGTCGGGTGAGCAGCGCGACGGGGAGAGATGATTGATGAACGAAAGGGGATGCTGCTCTTGATGGTGGAATATAGGTGATGAGAATCGCCGCTTTGCGGAGTCGCTCATCGATGGTTTGCCTTTTCGAGCGTTTGGAAAAGTCGAGCGTGCGCGTTCTGGCTATGCCGTATGGCCATGAGCTGGGATTGTCCCTTGGGAGTTTCGGGAGTCAAGCGGGCGGATACCCCTGAGCGGAAGCTCTCCCCATTTGCTGTTTCGGTTTGGATTGAAGACAGTCCGTAACTACGCCGACGGTGGCTCAGTGTCAGCTGTGTGATCTGTCTGTTGACGAAACAAGCTGATGAGGCTTCAAGGCTGTGCCGTCGGTAATTAATAATCGTATTGGTGTGGACATGTCACGTAAACGGAATTCGAGGGTATTCGACAGCTCAGGAGCGAGACAGCAGTGAGACAAAATCCAGCAGGCCGTCCGAACCGGAGACCTATGAAGCCTGCGGAGGGCGATGTCGACATGACTTGACACGGAGAATTGTGATCTCCAACGGGACGGATCAGGCACCACCATGTATCGATGGAACGTCCACAGCTTCACAGAGCACATAGGAACGTGATTCAAAGCATAGGCACGGGAGAGCTGCACTTACCACGGGCTACTGCCCAAAATATCTGGGCTGCCTCGTGTGGCAGTTGTGCTCGTATGTCTTGAGCGATAGCCAGTACACGTCAAGCCAGAAAGTATTTGGACACCTGTTGCAGCGATGCATCACCCGCTGAACACAAGAGGCAATGCGAAGCCATGCGTGTTACAGCCTCGTTATTGGATAGACGCCTGTCGAATCTCTCTGTTCTAACTGACTTGGAACTGACTGTCGAAGCACTTCTTGACTTGACGAGTAGTTAATAGCAGTGATAAGCGTATAGAACTTAGCCCGAGCTCGTCGCTAGTACCTCAAAATGCCACGACTAGTGATCCGTGGTCAGGGTATTATCAAAATTGAGTTCTGAGGCACAATAAATGCAGGGTTAGTCTAGTGGTTATGATTTTTCCTTTACAGGCTCGGCTTGAGCGGAAACGGTCCTGGGTTCGACCCCCAGACTCTGCAACAGATGATTATTTTTGCATAACCCCCGGTCTTTGTCGTATAGTCAGCTCCAATTGCGAACGTTTCTCTTGGGTATTTGACTTTTGGGAGCTTTTGTCTGTGCGACGGGCTGCGACATATACCTGGACTGAACGCAAACCTTGCACCGACGCAGATGGAACCAAGATAAGGTGACTAGTGGCACGATTTCCGTACATCCATCACCACACGACGACAACTCGACGCAAGGTTGCAAATCGTGTCACTTGGACAAAATAACAATATACAAAGCTCGGCCTCCGCCCCACGCTAGGGCTTACTTGTCCAGAATGTCTGCATCTCTGGCACATACGCTCAGCCGTATAGATTGAACGTCCTACAGTGCACGCATCCAAGACTCCCTGCCACGAGCAATGCTACTCCGACCACGCCTACTGCAGGCTCGCCGCTTCGCCGACGTCGATTCAGTGTGTCTGCAATGCCTGTACAGGCTCTCTCGCTCGCCTACGCCTCGACGGCGGCCTCTCTCGACCTCTGCTCCGTTCAAGAACGCCGTGGCGGCGACCCGCCAACAACGCAATGTCTTCAAGAAAGAATACTTCTGGGGCAACAGCATCCTCGAAGATGTGCTGTTGGGCTCGAGAAGAGGAGTCCAGAGTGACGCGGCATGTGTGGGCATGAGCAAGAGCAATGGCGATGACGACGCTCCACCTATAACGACCACGACAAAAGAATCGCCGGATTCTGCTCCTCAGCCCTCACCGGTGCCGGCGCCCACTCTCACCAAAGACGAGCTGCCCCACCGCCGCCGCAAACGCTTGAGAGAAGAGGCTATGGCTGCACCAACAGCAGACCCAGTCATCCCCCACGACGCCTCCTCCCGCCTCTCAACCGCCGCCTCCGCCCTTCCGGCAACTTCAATCCGCCGCCTACTTACCACCTACCTGTCGCTTTCCAAACCTCGCCTGTCCTTCCTCATCGTCCTCACAACATGTGCATCCTACTCGTTATACCCTGTCCCTGCCATCCTCTCCTCCGCGACCGCTGTCGCCCCCTCACTCTCCACTCTTACACTGCTCTATCTCACAACCGGCACCGCTCTATCGTGTGCGTCAGCGAATGCCCTGAACATGCTCTTCGAGCCCAGTCATGACGCCAAGATGAGCCGCACCCGGAACCGACCCTTGGTCAGGAAACTGATCAGTCCGCGCGGCGCCCTGGCCTTCGCTGTCTTCACCGGTATCGCAGGGGTCGGGCTTCTCTATTACGGCACAAACCCTACAGTCGCCTTCCTATCCGCACTTAATATAGTCCTCTACGCGGGGATATATACGCCCATGAAGCGGATCAGCGTGCTCAACACCTGGGCCGGCGCGCTCGTCGGCGGCATCCCACCCTTGATGGGCTGGGCAGCCGCGGCAGGGCAGTGTGCCGCGCACGAGGGCAACTGGGAAGAGTTGCTATTCGGAGAGGGCAGCGCGGGTGGCTGGCTTCTCGCAAGCCTGTTATTCGCGTGGCAATTCCCGCACTTCAACGCGCTGTCCTGGACCATTCGCGACGAGTACAAGAATGCGGGCTACCGGATGCTGGCTTGGACCAACCCCGCACGCAACGGGCGCGTCGCGCTGCGCTACTCAATCCTGATGTTCCCGTTGTGCATTGCCTTCTCTTACGCCGGCGTCACGGACTGGGGCTTTGCGGCCACGAGCAGTGTCATCAACGCGTGGATGCTGAGAGAGGCCATTCGCTTCTGGCGCTACGAGGGCGCCAAGGGCAGCGCGAGGGGCCTGTTCTGGGCCAGCGTGTGGCACTTGCCCATCGTGCTCGTGCTGGCTATGGCGCACAAAAAGGGGCTCTGGGAGAAGGTGTGGCGCGCCGCTTTGGGAGACGCCGAAGAAGAGGAGTGGGAGTACGACGACGAAGAGCCAGAGCAAGGACTTGGGCGAGGCGGCGAGGCGGAGGGACTGACGAGGTGACGCGGCCGTCTCCAAGCGCATGGGCATACCGTACAGGCGTTGTTCTGCGATCGGCCTCGCTCGTCACGATGGGGACAGGACCGTCAATGGCGTTAGGCTGTGGGACCAGGCTTCCTGCGTTCCACGGCGTTTTGAATCGTCTGACGTGGGTCACCTGTACGGGAACTGATCGTAACGCGAACAACGTGCCAATCAATGTTCAGGTCAGAATAAACCGGCTGTATCTAGATTCGTACGTTTCACTCTGCCGTCACTTGTTGTGTGTTGTTGGAAGAGAGCCAAAGGCAAGTCCAACATTGGACGTTTCCAGCCCACGTGCAGAAAGGCATCCTACCGAACCGCTGCCAGTATCGTCTGATTCCGTCCTCATTTGGACTTTCGACTTAGGCCCGACTTCTCCTCGCTTCACATCCATCTCGTTTCCCTTCTTTCTATTTCAACTGCGCTCTCCACTTGAGATCTTTGCGCTCCCCGAGCCTTTTACGTCCCGTCAAGCAGTAGAGGAGACAGTCCTCGAAGGTTCGTAGTACGCAGACGTCAGAGGGGGCGCGTGGAGGGAGGCGAAGCGACAAGCAGAGTATGTGGGAAGTGTAGATGTTCTTCGGGCCACAAATCAGCTCGGAATTGCACTGTTTCCAATATTGGATGTAACGTCGAGATCTCACTGGACGCTAGCCCACTCTTCATAGAACGCTGACAACGTGGATCAAAGAACGAGAATCTGGCTAGTTTTCTTTTTCAGCGCCAGGACGGATCTAGAGGAGCGCTCGCTTTGAAACACGCCCAATCTTAGATCATACAATGTTCGGATGTAGGTGTGACCATCTGGCAACACTCCCTACGTACACTTCTGTGACGATTACAACAGCCTGTTCCTAGAGAGCCACTTTTTTTTGCAGAACTCTCCTGCCATAATTTTGAAGGGAACAGGCGGATCTGCCTCGCGCTGCAGCTGGGTGTTGAGTACAGAAAGTGGAGCATATCGCTGCCTCGCAGCACTCTTCTGGTGTGGCCGTACAAATTTCGGTTCGATAGTGCAGGAACCGAACACGTCCGTCGTGAATCGGCGTCACGGCCGTTGACAGGGGTTACCCTCTAGCCTGAACAGAACCGGTATCCTTGAATGTTCGTCGAACGGCCCTCCAAAGGTCTAGATGAACACGCTCGAAGGATCTCAAATGCTGAGGTTTCCCTCCGGACGCTGGGTAGCTTCAAATTGTTGGAGGGCCTGCGTCAAGACCGAAAGATGTCAGAGGCACCCATGAAATTACAATTTCAATCGCCCCAGGCCCGTTCAGAGCATGTCTTATCGTCCGGAGCGTCTTAACAGTTCCATCCACCGTCACAGCTGATCGTCGCGCCCGTGACGAAGCTGCTCTCGTCGCTCAGCAAGAACACAATACAGGCCGCAACCTCCTGCGGCGAACCCATCCGCTTCATCGCCGTGTTCGCAGCATGCCACTGCTCGCCGTGAATCGCGTTGGCCTTGTCCATGAGCGGTGTGTTGATCTCACCAGGCGCTACAGCGTTGATGCGGATGCCCTTCTGGCCGTATTCTTTGGCGGCGGACTTGGTGAGACCTTGAACGCCATGCTTGGACGCGCTGTAAGCGGCGTGATTGGCGAAGCCTAGGAGGCCTTGGATGCTGGAGGCATTGACGATGCTGCCGTAAGATGGGGACTGATTGAGGATAGCGTTGATCTGGGCGCGCATGCAGTGCATTGTGCCTGAAGTGTGGGGTTAGTCGCGCGTCTGGTAGGACCGAGAGTTACCGGCCGTGAATAGGAGAATTCGGGCATGAGAGTTCGAGTTCATGGGGCCGGGACGCCAGATCAGCTTGCAATCCTTCGGGCTCGGAGGAGCCTGGCGATGAGCGATATGCGTAGTGCCATTGCTCCAAGGAGCTCGATGAAGAACAGACGGTCTCTGGGGACAGGACGGTACAGACTACACCCACGACAGATCGAAGTACGAGCAGTGAATCGTACCGTATAGATTGACCTTGATGATCCTGTCAAACTCCTTGTCCGGCATGTCCCCCAAATTCTTCACACCATGAATCTTTCCAATGACCCCCGCGGTGTTTGCCGCACCATCCAGCCTGCCCATCGTCTCTATGGTCCTCTTGATCCAGTGGTCGACTGACGCTGCATTTGAGATGTCTAACAGCGTTGGCAATATCCTCTCGTCGCCGGCGATCAGTCCGAGAGAGTCGTGCGCCGCGATGAGGGCTTCTCCGTCGATATCGGCGATGGATACACATGTGCCACGTTCGAGCAGAAGCTGAGCAGTAGCGAGACCTATACCGGATGCACCGCCTGTGATCGCGAACACGCGTCCGGCCAACGAAGACGACGATGGTACGAAGCCAGCCACGGAAGAAGTAGATGGAGCTACCGAGGAAGTCGACGGAGCAGACGAGTGTGCCGCCATCGCTGTTTGGTACGTGGAGAGTTGACCTCTAGCAGAGGGGAAAGCGTAGATTTGCTGCCAGACGGACAGAGTCGAAGCAGAATGGAAACAAATGCAGACCCTGTGACGACGAGGAAAGTAGGGCAACCGGGTGACAACATGGTATCCATGCCAAGCCCTGCGGGGCACATTGGGATGCTCGCGCGCTCGTTGTCCCCCATATGGCGCCTTAGCTCTCGTCGGCATAATCGGTCACTACACACATACAGATCTGGTAGAAGATAGTGCCCTGTGTTCGACACGTCAGTGATACCACCGTCAGGAGCACGGTAACATCCCTATAGCGATGTCACCATTCCATATCACCATAATTTGTATTAGAGCTTGCCCTACATACGACACACACAACACGATGACGGCTTGACGTGAGCATTTACATGTGATCGTTGGCAGTTTCGTAGATGGCCGAGCCCTTCGTCGATATACTGCCTGGTTGTAAAGCGGTCGATATTGAGGAGAGAACTTGCCAAGCAGAGAGCAACGAGAGAACATCAAAACAACCGTCAGACCTGAAACAAAAGTCAAACGCGCATTGACCCAAACCCGAACGACAAGTGAGGGATGACGGGCCCA